AAAAAAAAAAAAAAAAAAAAAAGAGAACAGGTAGGGTGAGAAGAAAGAAGCTACTACATAGGGCCTGGCTCTAAGCTTCCAATCTGTGTTCCAGGAACCCCATCTGACTCTACAGCTTCCCTCTGCTGGTCCACACCATGGCCCTTCTAGAAAATCTGTGTTGTTCTTCCAAAACCTAGGCCCCCTAAAGATAAGCCTAAAAGTTTCATGCCCTTCCTCTCACCACCGATATCCATCAGCCAAGATTTGTACCATAAAAATAAGAGGGTTTCTATCATGAAAAAATAGACTGTTTTGTTTTCTTTTACACACAAAATTATATCGTAATGATGAATGAGAGCTGCCACTTCATCCCACAGCATGAACTGGCCTCCTGACGGGTTGCTTCTCCAGCTGCCTGTGCCTACCCCGATAGCTGTGGTCAAAGCCTGTGCGTGCTTTTGTCAAGCATGGAGTGTCTTGATCAGCCTACACGGTTAGAATCTGGAGTCTTGGAAGACAAGAACCGGAGCTGCCCCAATATAGCCAGTCCTGCCCGAGTGACAGACACTGGGGGTCTACTGACAAGTGAGGACTGTGCCCACCCTGAGCGATCCTGTCCACACTGCCTGAGGAGAGCAAGGAGACACAGCAAATGGAAGGAGCTGCAGGAAGGCAGCTTTCAGTCGCCAGGTGGCCTCTTCAGGACAGGCAGCTCTGGGCATCCCCCCCGGAGGGTCCCCATTACATCCTGTCCTTCAGCCATGCCCGGGGCTCCCAGAAGTCCTGCCACCAGGGCCTTACCTCCTCCCTGATGTGTTCCACTTGCTCCTCCAGCAGCTCGTTCCTCTCAGTTAAGGTCTTGTTCTTCTTCAACAATGACTGGCCAATCCGAGCAGCCAATTCTAAATCCCGTTCTTTCTGTGAAAGGCAAGAGGGAGAATGGATTCACAAAACCTGAGCTTCCTAAAGGAACCAACAGTGCTCAGTGTCAAATGAGGAAAACAAGGGCATCTAGAAATAACAAGGAAATTAATAATTCACCATCCGTGTTGGCATCTGATGCCCGTTAAAAGAGGAGTAACCTTTGCCCACATAATGTGCAAGGGCTATGCAGACCTCTAGCAATGAGAAGGGAAGCCTTAAAACTTAATGAACACAAATCTTTATTCCTACAAAATGCTTTATTCCTCAAAAAAAAAAACACTTCCAAGAATATATCTTTGTAATTGCTTTTGGTATTTGTGCAATTATTTGATAACCTGTTTCCCCCAGCATATGGATACAGTAGCTATTTGGTGAATGAATGAATGAATGTAGAAATTGTTCTAAAATGCTTTTACAGTAGTAAAGCAAGTGCTGATACAGGGAGGCTACTAGACTGGAATTTACTGGGTTCCTTATTTTTGCCTCATATGAAACAAAAATGTTTAAAGTTACTCTGACACACAATTACATGCATTTTTGTTTGTTTTGTTTTGTTTTTTTACTTAGAAGACGCTACTTAGGCTTTATTTTTTCAAAAAACAACTTTCAAAATAGATAACGAATAAAACTGCCATACTTCAGAGAAAAAGACAATTTTATGGACACAAAATTTTCTGTTAGTTCAGCTGATGACATCAATTAGAACAGTAGAGAGGAAAATCCTTAGTGGCATACACATATAAAGGCATGGCTGCCTCTGTGGGAAGAAAGAAACCCCTGACAGTGGATAGACACCATCACCAAACACAGACTACTCAATCCCCACTAGATCCATATTTGCCACAATGGTTAGATTCAACCTGCTCACTTTCAGGTGGGGGTTGGCAAGGGTAGGAAAACTCTGGAAAACTAAACCATTTTCAAGTCTATGCTAATTACCCTGTTCACCTGGTATAAAAAACAGAAGAATGGAAACTTATAGTTTGGGGTAGGAAAAAAGCTGGAGAGGAGTCCTAGGTTCTGATCCCACTCCGGCTATTTACTACCAGCGTAGCCTTAGGTGAATGGTTTCAGCTTCACAAAGCTCAGATACACAGATTAGTTTTCAAATCACGGGTCGTAAGCCATCAGTGAATTGAGAAATCATTATAGTAGTGGCAACCGGCATTTTGTTTTAAATGAAATACAACATCACAGAATTGAAAACATCAAAATGCACTCCATGTAATAAGGGTATTATTTCATGTTTAAACTTTTGTCTGTCATATATTTACCTTTGTGAGTACTGGGCCACAACCTAAGATGCGTTCTCAATACCTTGAGACCAGGTATTGGTCTCAAGTTTACCTGCTCCAGGTGAACCATCCTACTCTAAACTGGGAGAGTTCAGGTTGTCAGACCATCCCAGGGGCCCAGTTCCCTTGTCTGTTAAATGGGAGTAGGGTGGAGGGGCAAGCTAGCTGAACTATCCTTGAAAAAATCTTCTAGCTTTATGATTCACTGAGTTGTATGACAAAAAGAATAAGCAGCTCTTATTTCTACCTTCTTACATATTCACCAAACTATTCTGTGTAACAGCAGCACACCTCCCTTTGCTAACCGCAAGAACTGCAATCAATCGGAAGCACAGCACTTGAGGTCTTAGTCTGAGAAGACTCTGGATACCACAGCAATTTGGCTCCCTCTTGCACAGATGATGGTCTCTCTCCCCTAGGTCTTCCACAATCCTAAAACCTGTCATACTGTCACCATGGTCCCAGACAGAAGCCGACAGTACATCAAGTGGGCTGAAATATCCCCAAGTCATTCCCAAAGTTTGTGCCTCCCCATCATGTCCTTGCCTCCCAGAAACACGGCTCGTATGTGTTGGGGGCGGGGGTCCTCCCATGGAGCAAAGGGGACGCAGCAACCTTGCCCAACCAACAGAGATGCTCATCTCTGTGCCTTTATCCATGCTGGCCCTGGTGTCTACCAAGAAGAGTCCTATCTCGTGGTCCTTTGTCACTTCTTAGGCTTGATAATTGTGCTTATTTGGTACCTAGAGGAAAAGATTCAGAGAACTGTGTGAAGGAACCTGTGCAGAATTTGAGTCTCCAGGGGCCAACTCAAAATTAGCACCTAGTCCAAATCGTTTCAGCCAATTCACACTTGGTTAAAATTGCAATACCAATGTCCATTTCTCTTTGGAAGTGCAGTCTCCATAAATCTAATTCAAGCTTATTAAATTTCTCTACTAGAACAAGTTCTCAGACTGAATACCCAGCCGGTGCTTAATTAATGCTCTCCAGCTCACTACCTGACTACCTGTTCTGCACTACCTTCTGGCATCCGAGCTGCCAAGTTCCAACAAGCACAGACATTTTCCATGCCTTTGCCACATTTTGTATGCACATTCCACTGCAAACGAAGCAAGCAAAAACTATAATACTGAAGCCTGGTTAGGAAAGGCACTACCAGAGCACCTGAAGGAAATGGAAGGCTTCCACGGCCACCAAGAGCCAGAACCCAGGAGGAATGGGGAACAGGCAGGAAAAGAAAAACAAGTGAGTTCAACGATAAAGCCCTTTTTCTAATTAAAGAAGAAATGCAAAATAAATCAAGAAATAAAAATTTTAAAAATAAAGCCGTTTGCACTATCTATTACACCTCAAATCCCAAACCTGAGAGCCTCTTTCCTCTCCCAGCCCCACTGAGGGCCAGCTCTCACCTGGTCTACACTGGAAATCTGATCTTTAATTATAAAGAACACTCTCTGCTGGGGAAAAAAGGCAAGAAGTTATAGTAAAAGTATTTATGGACGAAATGAAAAATTAATTTGTCATAGTGTCTCCAATTTTTCTAATTTTAGTAAGGCAACAGGCTGGTTGGGTTCCTCGTTGAGAATTACAAGAATGAAAAAAATAAATTCTATTTCTTACAACCAACCAACATATGATAAATGTTTACTTCTAAAAACAGAGTAGGTAGAAAATGACCACTGCATTAAACTTCAATGACAATAAGAGAGTACAAATTTATAATTTACGCCCTTAGAAATAAGCTACAGAAGAACTAGTTCTTTTATTCTCTGGAAAATGAGGCAAAGTGGAGCTCATTCTAACTCTGCTTGCTCCCTCTTTTCAGCTATGTCTGCTAAAAAAGTCTGTAACTTGAGTCTCGACCTGTTTCCCCATGAACACTAGCAAGGACTGACACACTACAAGAGACACGACAGCCTGCCTTCCACACTGAACAGCTGACTCATCTCATTCACCAATTTCAGGATAGAAAGCATGACTAAGGGGCCAGTGGAATAACCCTCCCCACAACTGTGTAAGAGGCAAGCTTTGCCCATAGGTACATTCCGAACAGCAGCAAGCCAGCGCAAGCCACAGGATGCTCT